GGGCTCAACTTATACCTAAAGATATGTTCCATTCTATGCCTAAACTAAGATACAATCAGACCTAAATCTCAGTTGGGAGGTAACAAGGAACAACATCTTAAACCAACCCATGTCTGTTTAAAAAAAGAGCACTCTACTCTGCTTGTATGTAGACTAAGAATTAATTAGCTTAAGACACTGGTAGAGGAATGGCCTTTTGTTCCCTCAGACTTCTCAACAAGCAGCCAGGAAGGTGACCTATTTAGATAGGCCAGGCTTGGAATCAAGCACAAGCCTGTAATTGCAAACATCCTTTATTAGGTTCTGGTATTAAAGTGATGGCAAATCTAAGACATGATCAATGCTCTGCTCTGAAATGGAAACCAGGGATGAAGACTGTTGATCTAGCAGAGAATTGTGTTTAAAAACTTGCTATGTGAATCAGGGTACCAGAAATTAGCATTAAAATGTCTGCCTTCACTACATATGTTAATAATAAGTGCTTTAGCACATTTCTGCACAGTACTTTGCAGGAAGGCCCAGGTTTTCTTTGCTCATGATCCAAGTCAGGTCAGACTGAGGCTGGCTCTGAACCAGAAGACATGCCGCTAGGCTGGAAGGGTTTTAAGACTGAAGTAAAATATCCCTGCCCCTTCCCTTAGCTCAGCTTGTTAACTTGAACTCAACATGAGTGTGGTACAAACTGGATTTGTGTCCACCTGATGTACCAGCAAAGACCAGATGCCCCCAGAAGAGACTCACTATCACTTGCCTGCCACATTGCTAGCTCTCTACAGTATGAGAATAGCACTGACTTGAAAATGCTAAGTGAAATTCACTGCCAACAGATCTCAGTTGCAGAGCCTAAAACTAAATAAAGGAATGACTTTTTCTGTTAACTATGGTCACAGGTACACCTTTGTAATGAAATTAAGCAAACATTAACTTCTGCAGGGTCAGATATTCTTACAGATGCCAATTCTGTTTTCTTTATGATGCATTTTGCTCCTGGTAGGCTCAATCAGTTGTACTGAATAACATTAATATTGTTTTTTTATACAGAAATTAATAGAATGGTAAGTGAAAACACTGTTCTGTGTTTTTATAAATAGATTCTGGTAGAACTTACTAAAGAGAATTTGTTTTTAAAATAGAAAAAGTGATTAAAAAATACCATGGAAGTAAGATGGTAAAAACAACACTTCCGGAGTCATTTTAAACTAATTGGACTTGTTCTGAAAATTTTCAAGTCTTAACTTTTTACTTTTATCCAGCATTTTGTTTTAAGAAGGAATAAACACCTATAGAAGCTAAATTCTGCATTCTTACTAATGGAAAACTGGTCATTTAGTTTACAGAAAAAACTTTTCTCTGGGAATGTTTAAATTGTTCCCAGAAGAACACAAGGAGAGTCATGCTGGTTCAGGCTAGTGATCAATTTAATGAAACCTGTTGACGGGGTAAGCAAATTCATAGCAAGTAATTTTGTCTTGTCTTACCAAGATGCTATTGTCATTGCCAAAACAGATGTTTTAATGGCATGAGGGTCACATGGTGCTCAAAATACAAAGAATTTGAAGGCAAGGAACTTGCCAATTATATTATGCACATCTAAATGTGCACAGTAAGTTTTAAAACTTGATCAAATCAAAATTTGAGAACAAGGCACAACCCTAGCATAATTCTTACTGCCAAATTTAAGAATCTTAAGTTCCTGAAATAATTAAAAGTTGGACAAACTTCCTCTGAAAAATAGGGCTAAATCCTTTGGGTTGACACCACTTCTCAAGACATTAAAATGATATCTTAAGTAGACTTGCATTTCAGAAGTTTTATAAGATCAAGCCTGTGATATTTCCATTCAATAACAACAATGAAATGCAATAATAACAGTAACAATTACATGTCAAACACTGGTTTCTATTTTAAAACACTGCCTTGTGTTGTACGTTAAAAATTTTAGCCCACAAGTGCATTTTTTCCTTCATTTTTAAGCAGTCTAATGAGAAAATTATCTTTCATCAGAGCAAGCTGCAAACTACATAAATAGATTCTCTCTGTCTTCATCTATTCAGATAAAAATTTTCTGAAAGGTACACTTCAGCAGAACAACACAGCAGATTCAGTAGATGGCTAACCAGCTATGACTTAATGGTCTATGATACCAGAGAGAGAATACAGATACTCTTTAATAAAACCCAACAAACCTACAAAAGCTGAACTACATGTAGGAACCATATTCATATACTTGGTATCAAGAACTAAATACTAATAATTTCTCCCTCTTCTTATAAAAAAGTCTTTGTCATTATCTATATTTGGGTTACGGTTCCAAGCATGGGTCTAGTTATCTTTTTCTGTGAGGTATTTGGGCATTGTTTTTGACACCTGATATATTTATTCTTGCAGAAGTAATTCTCATTGTAATCAAGTCACTTTCCAGAACTTGTTTTCTTTTTTAATAAAAAAGCGTAATTTTAAATATCTTTTAATTCCATCTTTCAAAAAACATCACTATAGCTAGCTGTCACAAAAGCATGGACATTAGAATTATGAGGAGTATCAGTCGTACCCTATGCTGTACATTCTATATATTCTGTATTACTCATTACTACATTCTTTCAAAGATCACTTTGAGCTATTTGCCGCTGCATAATTCAGATACTTACTCAGCCTATCAACAAACTACTGGACCCTTTTGAAAAATAACTGGTTTACCTATTTTTCCTGTAGTTCCCTGAACTTCCTGCTGGAAAGTTCTTCTTGAACTTCCCTGTGGGAATGTACTGCATTCTTTGTTGCTGGAACTTGCATACGGTTGCATAAGACTGATTTTTTTTTTGAAAGAACACATTCTAGAAAATACTGTGAAAAAGCTGTTCTTTGACACAGAACTGATGCATTGATATCCAATATTTTCTGAGTAATGATTTTACACTTACTTCTAAGTCTGAGGAAAATGGCACCAGACATTACCATTTTCCATTAAATGCCACAGGAACTGCTTTTCTAGACACATTATTGAGTTCTTAATGCCTTTGACATTTGCTTAGTAAAGCATAGCTTCACTAAGGGGAAATCCTGCCTGACCAATTTGGTGGCCTTCTATGATGGGGCTACGGAACCGACGGACAGGGGTAGAGCAGTTGATGTCATCTCCCTGGACTTGTGGAAAGCGTTCGACACTGTCCCACACGACATCCTTGTCTCTAAATTGGAGAGACATCAATTTGATGGATGGACAAGAACTGGCTGGATGTCCGCATGCAAAGAGTTGTGGTCAATGTCTCAATGTCTGGCTGGAGACCAGTAACGAGTGGTGTCCCTCAGGGATCGGTGTTGGGACCGGTCTTGTTCAACATCTTCATCGCTGACATGGACAGTGGGATTGAGTGCACCCTCAGCAAGTTTGCCGATGACACCAAGCTATGTGGTTCGGTTGATACCCTGGAGGGAAGGAATGCCATCCAGAGGGACCTTGACACACTTGTGAGGTGGGCTGATGCCAACCTCATGAAGTTTAACCATGCCAAGTGCAAGGTCCTACACCTGGGTCAGAGCAATCCCAGGCACAGCTACAGGTTGGGCAGAGAAGAGATTCAGAGCAGCCCTGTGCAGAAGGACTTGGGGGTGTTGGTCAATGAGAAAATGAACATGAGCCGGCTTCAGTGTGCGCTTGCAGCCCAGAAAGCCAACCGTATCCTGGGCTGCATCAAAAGGAGTGTGACCAGCAGGTCGAAGGAGGTGATCCTGCCTCTCTACTCTGCTCTCGTGAGACCTCACTTGGAGCATTGTGTGCAGTTCTGGTGTCCTCAGCATAAAAAGGACATGGAACTGTTGGAACAAGTCCAGAGGAGGGCCACGAGGATGGTCAGGGGACTGGAGCACCTCCCCTATGAAGACAGGCTGAGAAAGTTGGGGCTGTTCAGCCTGGAGAAGAGAAGGCTGCGTGGAGACCTCATAGCAGCCTTCCAGTATCTGAAGGGGGTTCATAGGAATGCTGGGGAAGGGCTCTTCATTAGGGACTGTAGCAATAGGACAAAGGGTAACGGGTTAAAACTTAAACAGGGGAAGTTTAGATTGGATATAAGGAAGAATTTCTTTACTGTAAGGGTGGTGAGGCACTGGAATGGGTTGCCCAGGGAAGTTGTGAATGCTCCATCCCTGGCGGTGTTCACGGCCAGGTTGGACAGACCCTTGGGTGACATGGTTTAGTGTGAGGTGTTCCTGCCCATGGCAGGGGGGTTGGAACCTGATGATCTGAAGGTCCTTTCCAACCCTAACTATTGTATGATTCTGTGATCCTGTGCCATCCTGATGCTGCTCAGTGCTGATTTTTAGTTAGATTGCAGATCACAATTTTTAATAGCATGTGGATTTTATCTAACCAGTTACTTTTATTACTACATGTGATTTTATTTTCATAAGATCTATTTTCTACAATGCAAAATTAATATAAATCCTTTAGAAAAAAAATAACTATTGTACATACGCACTGCAGACATCTGTAGCTAACCAGAAGAGTTCAAAAATATTTCTGTGCTTCTTAATCTAGCAAAGCACCTGTAGGTCCAGATCAACTTTCAAGGTGCCTTTCAAGGAAGATGTATCATGAATGTGTATTCATGAATCAAGCTTGTTACCTATTACTTTAATATCTCAGCCAGAACTCTATCATGCTAAACTTTTCAAGGTGTTCAGAATAATCAGTATCTCAGGATAAACAATCTCAGCCTGACCAAGAGTCCATTGCTATCGCTGGAGTCTTCCACAATTACTCAAGTGGCCTTCGGAACAGGTTCACTCTCATCACGTTTCTGACAAAATCATGGTTGTTGGAAAATAATTATTTCAAAAGTTACAAGCTGTCCTGGTGCACAGGGATTAAAGAAAAAATGACTACAGTAAATATCTGTGTGCAGAAAGGGAAAAGAATTTGGATATTATCTGCCCTATAAATTTATACATAAGCCCACACTGAACAGGAATAAAATGAAATAACTTCAATCAATCATCCTTACCTATTCAATGCAAAAGCATAATGAAATTTGATGTTGTGTTGATCAGCCAGATCACAGGTAGGAAGCATTTCTAGTGTTTCTACCAGCTTCACCATAGCATCATAGTCCTGTTATGAATTAAAAAAGAAAAAAAAAGAAAAGAAACTGAAAGCAGAGGAAAGCATCACTAAACTGAAACATATCATGACTGCTAGACAGTATCTCAGGTGACCGTTCCTAGAAGACTCAGTGAAACAGCCACAAAATCTGTGTAAGGAAATGAACAGGGATTTTGTCCATCCATGTCAGTACTTGCTTCTTCCTCATTTCAATGCCACTGCCCAAATTACTGAGTCCCTCTGGCCAGTTTGATCAATTACACTCCCAGCACTGGGAAGAAGGGTGATGAGCCTGGCTTTTTCAGGCCTTTACTGAGGATTTCTGGTGAATGACGCTTCATCAGGTCATTGCAGACTAGGGCACAGTTCATTCTGCAGCATGTCAACTGGTTGTGCATACATTTTGATTTTTCAGGGGTAACTTGCATATACATTGCTGAAGAGGGCAGTTTACTGACATCAACAAATGGCTTCATGTTACTTGTTTGTTGAAAATATGTTTTGAGACTATTACATTTCTCAAGGAAGACCACTCAAAGGAATGCAAATAATCACCAGAGCTGATCAAAATGAAGCTGGATGAAGTGCTGCAGGAAAATATGTACCACCTCAGAGTGGAAAGTTGGGTAATGCAGGATGATGTGGTCACCCAATGCTCTCATGACCCATTTATACTTACAAAATAACCAGCCTAACAGCCTTCTAGTACCTAAAGGGATGCCTACAGGAAATACAGAGAGGGACTTTTTCAAGGGCATATAGCGACAGGACAATGGGGAATGGCTTTAAACTAGAAGAGAGGAGATTGGGACTGGATATTAGGAAATAATTCTTCATGGTGGTGAGGCACTGGAACGGGCTGTCCACGTAGGTTGTGGCTGCCCCATCCCTGGCAGTGCTCAAGGCCAGGTTGGATGGAGCTTTGAGTAACCTGATCTAGTGGGAGGTGTCCCTGCCCATGGCAGGGGGGTTGGAACTGGATGAGCTTTAAGGTTCCTTCCAACCTAAACCATTCTGATTAATTCTATGAAAAAAAAACCATTTCCATAGAATGGTTGGAAGTATATTTTAAAAGGATGTCAAACACGCAGACTGTCAGTTTGGAAATACATGACACAAGCTGTGTTTTAGCAAAGCAGATTAAAAAAAAAATAAAAATGTTTCTTTGAATGACAGTTCACAACTTGAGCACCTCTGGCCAATACAACAAATGTATTTTCTTCATTTCTAAATGTATCTGATTTTGAGGGCAAGGGAGGAAAGGGAGGGAAGGGAAAAGCAAGCATCTTGCTTCACTAGGGAATAGTTACTGAGGGTTTGGCAGGAGGGGAGGTTTAGGACTTTAAAAATTACTAAAAGCAAAGGAGTTGACCTCAGGGAGTCATTTAATCTGTTTCTCTTGTTCACAGGCAAAATAAATAAGAGCCCAAGGCCCCTTGAACTGGCCAAGCAGGTAAGTCAAACTGTTAAACAACGTAACAATTCAGTGTCAGCTTTGAACCACTGTTTAACAAACAGTGAAGTACAGTAGGACAAACAAGAGCCCAAATCCCATGGTAAAATAATCGTCCTTAATCTTTAAGAACATACCTGAATATCTCTGTAAGAAAGAAGCAGGTTTATGACAATGTCAGAAGTCAGCACTTCAGTGTTATCCATACGAAGCTTAATCCTAGCCAGCTCCTTAGCCAGTTCATCTCCTTGATACTTCTCTCTAGCTTTTCTAATATCATTCAGCAGCGTTTCTTTATAATAGGCACTACAGAAATAGAAGATGGACATATAAGAAGAAGACGGACAGATATTTCTTATTTTCCTTTTTTTTTCTTATTTCTAGATATTGTTGGCATAATTTCCAACAAGTGCCATTTCCTCACAGTGGGGTGCACATAAAAATTTTCCATGAAGTACACGATATACCCAGCAAGGTGCCAGAGAATAGCAGACCTGCCATGGATGGAGGTGTGAGGAGGGTGCATACAGGCAGGCTCATCTATGGTATTCTAAGAGTGGGACCAGGTGAGAAAAGGAGGTTTTTAGGTGAGCCTTTCACTGGGGTGGGATGGCAATGGGGAAAGAGAAAGAAATCCAAGGGCCCTCAGCGCTACATCATGCTCCACACACTAGGAAAAAGAAAACCTAAAAGCTCAGTCTTTCACCATGTTTTACAGAAATACAAACAAAACCAGACTAGCCTCAGAAAACAGGGTGAGCAATCGAGAGAGACTTTAACCTCCAGCCTCAATCCTCAAAACTACAACAGTCCCTTGTAAAAGTGGCCAGTGTCATGTTTATTATCTCATACTAAAAGGCTAATGTTAAAAAAACCCAAACACCCAAATGAACCAAACAAAACCAAGCACCACCAAGAACAACAACAAAAACCAAACTATCAAAGTTACATTTGCTTGCCTATTGCTGCCACATTATTTGGTGACAGAAAAGGATAGTGTTTGGCTTTGAGCTCTACGAAGAGGCTGTGATTTATCTCCTATTACAATCTTATGCACTGTAATTTATACTTCACCTAACCCATGGACTGCCTTTGCTTACTGATGATTCAGAAAGTAACCATAAATCAGGACAGCAATACAGAAGGCAGTAAAGATAGCAGTTTTTTTAAAAAAACATATTAAGTGCAGTGAATAATAATAAATAATAATAAATCATCAATGCTGCTACTATAGATTGGTGGGGGGGGGGGAGGGTTGGTTTTTTGTTGCTTTTTTATAAGATTCAAGAGACTATCAAAGGTTCTGGAGATGTATGTGTAGCAAAATTACCACGATGTAACATGGACATCCTTGAGAAGGCTGATAAACTTGTCCACCAGGGGGACACATAGTGGCCCCAGGATATTGTCCCAGCTGGGCTGCATATACTCAGAAGCTCTTCGCTGGGCATCACTTTCACAGCAAAAGTAGTCAGCAGAAGGTGTGACGATGTATGGAATAAAGTAATAATTACCACTGGAAGCCTAAAATAAAAACAGGCACAGTTTAGAGAACAAATGAAAGTAGAAATATGCTTGTGTACACACAGAATCTTTTACTGTCAGAAGAAACAGCTAGATTGGGGCTAGTGCATTACGAACCTTTAGCGCACTGTTTAACACAAGATTTGCAAACATTGAATTAAGGGAATTTTTCATGGAAGAGTTAAAAATATTAACAAGGGTTAAATTTTATTATTAACAAGGGTAATCTGTTAACCAACGATGCAACTAAACTGTTCAATACTTTTTGTATGATGTATGTACCCTAATACAGTCTGACAGTTACAAGCTAACCTTCTGCTCCCAAATTTTGGGTGTCTGAGGTGTACTTGCATCCTCTAGGCCCACTTTTTGCTAGGAAGCATATGACGCAGAGCTCCCCACAGAGAGAGAGATACAGAGACACAAGCATTGGAAAGACTTTATGGAGGTGTTTAATCTGGAGGAGCCTACAAAATATTTGTTGCATGCTACCTTCAAATACCAAACCAACCAACCAAGAAAACCTGGAAAAGTTTCATAATGTATGTAATACATTTAGCACAGAATTCTAGAAGTAAAAAAATAAAAGTCCTAAACATGCCACATAAAAAGTGTAAACATAATCAAGGTGCTGAAAGGGGAAGCAGAAAATACCCTTCAGAGCCCCAAATCAGCAAGTTCAGAGTCTTCGGCTCCTGAGCAAGACTCCAAAAAACCAGATAACTGCAAAGTTTTCCACAGGTACTAGAAGCACCAGTTTTGAGCTATGACAATTCTCTGCTGTTTAAAAGTAAACTGCATTTCAGAGTAACTAGACAGGAGCACTGAAGAATGGGTCAGTATGATACATCTAACACAATCAACTACCACTAAATACCCTTCAAACTCCACCTTGGGGATATCAAGGCATCAAACATACAGCAAAATCAATACCTTCTATTTTTTCATAGCATCTAGGCTGGCAGTAAAGCTGTAGCCATTCAAAGTCACCTTGAACAATGGGAGAATGCCGAGATAATGGAATGAATGGATATGAAGATGACAAATTTTTATAGGCATTAATAAACTAGATGAGAAATAAACAGTTTATGGGAAGTTAACAATGTAGGGCATGCAGTTACTAAAAATACAGATGGAAAAAAAAACCTGTATCAGTACATCCTGTTGTTGTTATAAGTCTGCAAAGATTTAGAATTTTAAATTATTTCTAATAGATAAGGATCAAGCCACAATCCTTCCTCATAAACACTACAGTACCTTATCTCTCTTGTAACAATGTAATTATCTGTTGCAATGTCATCTTTACTTCCTATCAAAAAAGGTGGAAAATTTGCAACTGAAACCACCAGTATTTAAAAGCAATTTAGTCTTCAGTTTATTCAAATAAACACTGACTTCAGTACAAAACAAAAGCTGTTTGTGTAGAAACTCTGTTCTTAAACCTGTAATAATGAATTAGCTCTTCCTGCAATGGAAAAAAAAAAAAACAATAATTTGAAAGCATGATGTATTTTGTGACATAAAGGGAACTGCAGTCATCTAATGAAAACACAAAGCAGTTTTTCAGAAAAAAAAAATTAAATTACATTTGTGAAACACTGTATTAATATTATTGAGCCAACATCTCATCTATTTGACCTGTATTTCTTGCCTCTGTGGATAGGAAAATCTATACAATTAAAAATATGTTTACCCACAACAGACACATTCTTGTGTCCAGAGAAGAACTCTGCACATATTTGAGCATGTCACCTTGTCTGAAAGTAACCAGCTCCAATTTTCTAACTTATTCTGTCCAAATCTTACATATAATAAATTATAAAGCTCCTTCATGTAGAGTGTGTGGCCTTTCTAAGACTGTCTTTCTTATCTTCATTACATAGAAAACCAGTTCTGTCCATGTACTTTTCTTACACTATTAAACATTAGAGATGGCTTTAAAGGTTAGAGAAGGAAGATATCATCTTGGCTTCTTATGATTATCTACTCAGGATGCTGGTCTTTGACACCACAAGCTAATCATTGTGAAAATTACTGTGCTGTCATACACCACCTATTGCTTTTTAGGATAATGAATAAATGGCACAGGTGAGTATGAAGTAAAATATATAGAAATCCAAGCTGCAAGTATATAATACCTATAAATTGTGAGTTATTTAATTGTAATAGAACTATAACGTCATAGTTTATGAAGATTGTATGCTGAGCTGGTTTATTTCAGGATTAGTAGTTAAGCTCTTCTTATTGTCTTATTTTGAGAAATGTTTAAGTTAAAAATAACAAAAAATCAAGCAGACTGAAAAAAAAAAAAAAAGCTCATCTACCAGTAAATAATGTGTGCTCAGTATGCTAGTAATGAAAATTTTGCATTCAACAACACTTCAAAATCTAGCACAAAAGGAGCCAAAAATTTAGGATAGTAGGAAAAACAGAAAATAACTGAAAGCAAGTTGAGAAAGGGACCTGTTCTTCAGGGAAAAATGGTTAAAGGCATTAATCACAGAGTCATGCTTTTGCTGAAGTGCTGAGTTAGGCTCACATAGACCATTTTTAGACTCTAGACAAGGCAGGCCAAGTGTAGACTACTTTTCACCTTAAAACACTCCTCTAAGCGTTTTCTTAATGCTGCTAAAAGTAAACTTTTGACCTTACTAACGTAATCAGTTTTTTTTTAATTGCACTGCTAGCTATTCCAGTACAACTATCACTGTGACAGACACTACACTAGAACTAAAGTTTAGGAGTCCTTTTTTTTCTTTCCCTCCATATAAATAATGTTGCGTAAAATCTCTGCATTTTTAGAGGCAGTTATGCCTGCACAGTGAAGAGCACAATTATTTTACTTAAGCTATGCAATTCATTTTGCTACTTATTCAAGCATCAAGAGCATTAGGATTGCTTAGCCTACCTTATCAAGCAGTTACAAGGAAAACACACAGGATAACAGAAAAATAACTGCATTCACTCAAAGAAGTCACAAAGTTTTGAGGATTTAAGGAGTTTAATTCACTGTTGCCTTAAGAACTGAGGTTTTCACTGTAGTTTTCTGTGACATCACATTCCTATCCATCATGCAGTACAGTTGACCAAGACTTTTAAAAAATACTTCCTCTTCTAAAGTTGAATATATACAGTATTTTTATGTAAAGGCTGTGAAGAGAGATTATCACAAGCCAAACATTCTGGATGCTGGGATCTAGCTCGCAAGGAAAGAGTACTCCAGGATAAGAATCACTTTGAAGAAAAGATCCTGCCAAGTACTATTCTTAAGGAATCCTTAAGAGAGAAACGGTGTACATTTTTAAATGCCTAGAAACATGGTTATAAGATGCCATATCTGTTCAATAGGAAGCAGATTTAAAGTAATACATACTTTGTCTATCAGATAACCACTGTGGTATTCAGGAGGTACTTGAACCCGAAGAAAAGCTTTGTGGTTGGCAACCTACTCCAAATAGAAGTAAAACAACAAAAAGGAAAACACCACCACAAAACAGCATAAGAATCAAAAAGACAGACATGACACATGAATAGAGAAATTATTAAAGAAACAACATAAAATTAATATAGATATTTATAGCAAGTCCATTTAGAAGGCCAAGAAAACAGTGCTCTTGCTACCCAGTATATGATTTGTCTGTCTACATAATTTGTCTATTCATCTCCTTGTGTCATCAGAAACATACTTTCAAGTCTTACTTTTATGAACCTATCAGACTGATTGCATGATTAGTTAACACTAATCCAACCGCTACTAATACACATCCCTTGAGATAGTAACATTTCCATAAAAACTACATAAACATTTATTGGCTATTTAATATTTAACACTTACTGGCTTACCCATTGCTTTTGTACTATTCTCCCCTCAAAAGAGAAAATGATTGCATTGAAGATGTTCCTACTCGTCTTTCATTCTCAGCCCTTTTGCAAACTCTTTTTATACAAGCATTTATATTTTGTAAATGTTTGTATAACATACAAACATTTATATTTTGTAAAAATAACCATAAAATATAGAAAACTACTCTGCAATAATACTTCTTCAGATTATTAAATTCATATAATGTAATCATACTTTTAGAATCTTGGCTCTTCCATGTATCCACTGGGGCTACTAAATTGGAGAATATGGGTCCAAGTGCAAAAATCTTTCTTAAGATTTTTTTTTTACTTAAATGTTCATTGCCTTGAAATAGTAGATGCAGTCTAATTTATACAGCTAGTGAAACTCTGAAGAGACTTTTTGCCAATTACCATAAGAAGTGATTTTTCAATATAAAAGTTCCTTGCGGCAAGGATAAATTGCAATCCTGTCCCCTTTAGATCAAGGAGAACTTTTGCTAATGACTCCTCCATGGCCTAGACTTTATTCTTTGCTTGCTATAGGAGCTGCTACATGTTCTAACAAAAAAGCCCCAAACCATTTAAATCTCTGAAAATACTTTATCAGGCCCAGTGGCCTAAGTATTTTATAATAAACCTTTTGCTTTCATAGCCAGTTTACTTTCCTTTAAATTACTTCCCTGAAAGCAATTAACAGGGTTATTCAAATTTCTTCAGGCATACCATCAGCTAAAGAAAAATTAACTATTAAGTCTTTTTCCTTATATCCTGTACTTGCCATAATAATTTTCCTAGAGTGTGAAATTCTAGCTTGTCTTTTCAATGCCACATTTAAACAACTGAATGTATCAAAGCATGTATCTCAAACTATGTGCAACCAATGCTAGAACTATTCCCAGAAAGACTGTGTATTTTGCTTCCTGACTCCAGCAGCTTTAAAAAAGTCCCTTGTGCACTCTTGGACTTTCTGTATACAACATTTCTTAAAATACTGTAGAGGGAGAGGAAATTTCCCTATTGAAACAAAATTAAAAAATCGATAGCAACAAAACTTTGCATCATAATGGAACAACTTTCCCATGTGTTTTGTCTATTACATTGGTTTGGGGAAAAAGAATTTTTTAAGCATTTTTTGCTTTCAAAAATCCTTAAAATTTCATTTTGTCAGTAAACCAAAGTTTATCCGACATCTACAGAAACTCCAAAGCACAAGCCAGTTTTTCCTTAGGTGAATTTATTTTCCTTTACTCTACAGTCCAGTAGCATCCACGGTGCTCTCAAACCTTGACTTTTCCATAATGACACAGGAAACAAACTGTTCTGCAAGACTGCATATTTGCAATTTATTTTATCAGTTCTTATTGTGACAGAAACTAGGAAGCTGTGCATACACCCTCAACACAATTAGCAGAAAACAGCCCTCAAAGCTCAGAGGAGCTCTGCAGAAGGAAACCTAACTGATGGGACATAGAATCTTGACCTTGAATTTCATGCCAGGGCAATTCATTCTTGGGAACTGAATTCCCAAGCCAATAATTCTTTCCTTTTGTATCCAAGTATGCAATAAATTATCAATGCAGAATTTTAGTTGTTTGTTTGAGGAAGTCAAGTAGAACTGAATCAAATTCCCCATCTTATCTCACCTCTGAAAACTTTCCTGTACGGTGGAGGGAAGGAAGGAAGTTCTCCTACTCTTAAGCTCTTTTTTTCTGACAGTAAGCTATAAAATATCTCGAACTCTCACCACTGCAGTATGCTGCTGTATAATTTTCACTGTTAGACCAGTTGTACTTAGGCTAAATCTCAAATTAATTGCTGACCTTTCTTCTGGGCACTGTTTTCAGCTTTATGTCCAGGTTCTTCACTCTTGCCTCCTCCTTGATGCTGAATTAGAATATGTTTTCTTTACAAGGAAAGCGTCCATTTTATTCAAGGCTTACTGGTTATATACAAAAGAAAATCACCCCAGATGACACACAAGACATTCATCTGCATCTTTAACACGGCTCCACATCTGCTCCATGCTATGATTTTGTTTGCACCTTTTGTACATGACTTCAGATTTTCAGTTCAAATAGTAAGGGTGAGGGCAAACAAACCTCAGAGAAAGCTCCAAGCTCCAGCACAGAAAGTTTCATTTGTGCTGCTGGAAAAACAGTTTGCTGTGCCTAGTAGAATCTCAGTTGTTCCCCTTTCCATTATACACTCTGCAAATGTGTGGACACAGAGGTTGTAAGATGTGGAGAGGACTTCCCTTCATAAAACCAGCAATGGTATTCCTGTGGCTAATTCTGGGTTGGAGGAAGGCTTAGCAGCAGGTCAAGTATCTATCCTCTTTCCAACATATCTTCAGACCCTAATGAAGAGTGCACTTAAACTCTTCCTGCTATTGCATTGCTATGGAAGAGGCATACCCACACTTTCTAATCAAGAAAAGTGAAAGGAAAACACAAACCCCTAATACAGAGATATTAACTCTTGTATCTAATATTCAGCATTTAAACTGAAGTGGCAATGTAAATACATACCTCATTGGACACAGTAAATTCACACCAGTTCTGGACCTACTTAACAACGGCAGCAATCCTCCTTAGCAATTTACTTCAAACAAGATATTGCCCATATGGTGGTAAAATATTTAACCAAGCAATGAAGCAATAGCACCATATTGGGGCAGCAGCAAACTGCAAGCCTCTCATGGCAACTTATTGGATCTGAAAGGAGTAGAAAGCGATTGTCTATTTGAAGTCAACTCTATCTGAGAAAAACATAGAGTTTTAACCTACTAACTATTTGGCTTCCTAATTAGTTTGATGTAATTTCTGATCAAAAAAGGGATGAAAGAATGCAATATAGGAGCACATTTAACTAATAAGAGAGAACAACCTCATATAACAAAAAAGGGTCAAGAATCCATAGTTGGTATTTATAATCTTTTTTTCTCACTGTATTTTACTCAAAATTGTTTTCTTAATTTAAACACTTGAAGAAAGTGGGTTAGGCAATCCCTCGTTTTTAAAGGAGGGATCAGGATCCTAGTTTCAAAGTACTTCCCTGACCCATCTGCTAGCCACATGGTGTTTACAGGTCTGATACCAGGCCCTGCTCCAGAAACCATGTTACCAGATCTGTCTTGTCTTCTCTTCATGTGAAGGTAAATACCTCCCTCTGTGGGAGGAATCTGCCAGAAGAAAAGATTGCAGGTTGCTAATCTGAGCTCACTAGGCTGAATTTGCCTCCACTAATCTGTCCACGAGGATGAAGTTGCCATCACCTTCTACCTTTTTATGCCATTTCTGGAAATACCACTAAATGGCTCAGTCAGAATTCTCTCTTGCTCAGGAGGGGAACGTACATGCTTGTTACATTTTGGTTGTTCACCAGTTGATGGACAGTAGCATTCACAAGCAAATCTGCTTTATTCCTAGGACTCCCTTAAAAAGCTATAAACTGGTAAATGCAATTTACACCCCACAGGTGAAACTAGTTCAAAGATCACTAAGACAGACAGGGAAATTACCTGGACTTACTCAGGATCTCAACCTGATCTATCTTTAGCCTACATGCCATGCAGTGCTGTAGCCAATTATAAACAGCAGCTCAAAATAAACTGCTGTGAGTAATGAATTATTTCTTCTAGTTCTCTTTTAAATTATTAGCAAGCTCTAAGAACATTTAATTATTTTAGTCCTGCATAATATTGTTCAGAAGAAAATTAAAGGATATGATGAATGGGGGGAGACAGAAAGGAATAAATGGAAGCTTAAGATTTTTGCAGATTCAGTAGTCCTAAAAATAACAGTGTAGAGTGTTTAATGAAAATAACTACTAACATGATGTCAAGTGAGACAAAATGTATAACTGTCTAAGATATCCTGGCATATTGCATTAAGCCTAAAATAACCACTAGATTTTGTCTTGGTTCAGGCTTACTTGTTTAATTTTCTTGCTTTAAGGATAAGAATATTTTTACTTTGGGAAAAAATCTTTTGCATTCCTAAGTAAAATCTCTGAATTTATGAAGAAAAGGATGGGTATGCAGTAGCCAAAGCTGCTTCGAGATATATATACACACACCATATATATATACACACATATACATATATGTGTATCTTGGAGATATTAAGGCATCACACACACATATACATTTGCACAGGTGGGTGAAAGTGGTGGAGGGAGAAAGAGACTTAGAATTTCTGAGTTTACATTTTGACCTATCAACCTACAGACATATATATTGCCACTTTTCTAGAATTTTCAAAGGAATTTCCAAAGAGAAGTAACTTTTTAATTTAACTTTACTTCAGAAAGGAATTCAACAAGATTTCCACTAGTTTGAATTGTACATAAGTGAAACAGACTTCCTTCAATCATATAGAGCATAAACATGCCTAGCAGCTTTGTTATTAGAGTTGCTTCAAACTTAGTATCCTCATTTTGTGTTTTGAAATGAATGTGGATTTAATACTTACTGTGTTTTTCTGAGATACCATATCCTGGGAAAAAAAAAAAAAAGAAAAGAAACATAGGAGAGAGACAATAAAAATGTTTATTATTTTTTACTGGGAATTATTCTTTCCAATAAAAACAACTGGTATACATATATATATACACACAGAGTCATGTTTTTCACACCATAATCCAGATTTCCTGCCACAGCAAATTACAGGTAAAGGGACAGAATTACATAGAATCATAGAATAGTTAGGGTTGGATCAAGAAAAGTACTTAATTGTTTGTGCTTTGACAACCTAAGATTATTCTGCTTGAGCAACTTCATGTGTGACAGCCTGAAATCTATTGCACAGAAAATGGTCATGCCTATAGACCCTTTTCCACAACAACAGGCAATATATCAGGAGCCATCTAAGAAGTTCAGTTTTGCAAATATGATCCTCTTGAAATCCAGATTATATATTCTTTCATATGCTAAGAACTAGGTTGTTTTGTAAAGAACATTGGTGAAACTGAAAATACAACTCTCAGGATAACTTCTGCATGGGTCCTAAGAGATAAGTGATATAAAATCAGGCTGTCCAAACTTCCCAGATCTTCCCAATAGAAGTAATAACAGTCTTCAGTACTGCCTTTACAGCACTTAGGGTAGCCACTCTTAAGAGGCATGCAGACCAACCTAGACTGAAGTAAAGTAATAGATTTTGAAAGAAAGGAAAAAAACCTGACCAAATTAGTCATAAACTTGAGAATAAAGAAAACACCATCAGATTGTCAAAAATACATATTAAGGTACCAAAACCTAATAAGAATTACTGACTAACTTAAACTCCTTAAGCCAAATGAAATACTTCAAAGCAAAATTGATGGAAGGCTTAGAAATATGAAATAGCACATATCTGAAAATTAAAATATCTTCCTAACTATGCAAGTACCTCCAGTAGATGTTTACCTACAGCAATTAAAAATCTTTCTTAGCAGGGAGAAATCAACTCTTCTGAGAGCTATCCATCAGCTACACCATGAGATGTCTCATGAACTGAAAGGGTGCAAGAACAGCCCTTGTCTACCTTTTGAAGTATTCCTAAGAAAGAGGAATTAGCATATGAGTGATATCCAGCACTGAACCGGGGATCGGTTGCAGAAGAGGTATCAACGACATCAGGGTAGGACTGAATCATGTTATGCTGCCCTGCTTAAACTACTCTAGCACTTGATCTAGAGAATCTCTTCTACTTGATTTCAGCAACTTAAATCAAACCTTCTATTCCCATAGTAAGATAAGCTAGAGCCCCATGCAGGCCAAGGAGGTTATGCAAACAACTGGTAGATGAGGAAGAGGCACTGACAGAGTTTCTAGCAGACGAGGGATGAAGGCAGATGGTAATTTTTCTAATCTTAAGTGACCCAGTCACACTCCGGTGTTCCCAAATCCCCAGATTTGTCATTGACTTTATGTCCTCAGACAAAAAAACCCAGAACTGACAGTGCAAAGAATTGCAATTTCTGGCAACAACCAATGTGAAGGCCTAACCCGTGGATGGATGTAATCCTGGAGGTCATTCAGCACTTCAGTTACGGAGCAGGTCCTTGCATGTGTGCTTGGCGCAAAGCACAGAAATCAAAGCCATCCACAGAAGTCCTTATTGGGCAGAGACTAATAGATGACTAGCCTGTGCTTCCCAAACTTTGGTACATCCTTAGGAGAACCAAGTTGGTTGGAACATCTGAGTGACAGCATGGAAGAAAGGTAAAAATGTGCTAATGAAAAATAAAAATGAAAGATCTCTTTGCAGTCAGGTGTATTACCAATGCAGGATGAAAAGTTGCATGCCTGCCTAAACAGATTAGCTAGAAGAATGGAGAGCATGCAAGTATGCCTTAGCACATGTCTGTGTGGATAACCTCTGAGCAAAGTGTGAGAGGCTCCAACTCTGAGTTCTTGTGACTCCAGGTCACGCGACTGCTCTCAGTGATGGTAGCAAGAAAATGGATGATATTAAAAGCAGCAGTATGTGATGATACGGAGGATTAAAGTCTAAATGTGATCTAAAGCAAAGACAACCTGCACTGAGAAAGACAGAAACATCCACAATATATGACTTGCATCCACAACAGCAATTTTGGGACTTAAGTGTATAGCATGTGTTATCCTACTATAAAAATGAGCAGCAAGCCTATGAAAAGATTTGTTGAGGATCTCCTGTTTTATCTTCAAACAGCATGAAAAAGGAGATTCCTGTAGTCTTAGCTACTCAGTACCTAGCAGATGCAAACTTCATCTGACAGAAGTGCTTCAATAGTAGGAGTATCTTGCAATACAGCCCATGTTCAAGCATTGTTATTATACATGTCATAACATTTTTTTTTTTTTACATTTCCTCTAATTATAAGAGGGAAAGGAAGGAAAAAAACTCCCTAGCTGCATTCTCACTTCCATGTCTGACCATCCAGAGCAAAATCAGTTCCATATTACAGATCTTTTCTTATAAACAAGCTTTTATACAATTCTAATCATTACTATTTTTGCTAGCAGCTGTTTTTCTTAGCAGGATTTTGTTATCATGCTATCAAGAAATCACATTCAATGGATGTTTCAGAAAAAAACATACATTTGCATGATCAGTTATTTAAAAATATTTCTGAAATAAAGCAGATTTTGAAGCAAGAACCTTACTTTGAGAGACTGAGCAGTGTCAGCATCAGTGTCATGGTAGAGTATAACATTATTAGCCATGTCAAAGCTTTCACGCACACCAAGGTGGTAGAACAGTGATGGTTGCTTGGAAATATCACTCATGTCCACAACTGCAACATCTGAAAAGAGAGAGGGAGGGAGAAAAGAGGGCAAAAAAAGTAATAATCTTACACACAGGTTTGTTCCTACACATAATTTAAAATAAATCCTGAAATAAGTACATTTGGACAGACAAAACCAATACATTCAAATAAGAATCATTTTCTCATGGTACAAGTAAATTTTACCATTCATATAACAGATAAGAACCTACTCAGGAAATTATCACATTATTAGAATAATTATGAGGCAGAGTTTATTAATTCTGCTTGAGGGTTTGAAATCATTGCATCAGGAATACCTCACATGAAGAAGCAGTTCTGTGTTTGCTCTGTGAACCAGGCCTGACAGCCTGAATGCCTAATAGGATATAAGGCTCCAAACCTTCAGGTGGAACCTCTAAGAACAATAATGTAGCAGAAAATTAGGGGAAAATGCAAGACCAAGTTTATCTTAGGAGGCTGAGGTTTGAAGAACAGGAAATTCCTGAACAGTAGAAAAAGAAATTACTGTGAAGGTTGACCCCTAAAAGCTAGAGGCAAGATGTTCAAGATGAAGGGTGCAGGAATAAGGGGATTCAGCCATGAGTAGCAAGAACAAGACTTCCACTGCTCTTGGGTAGTATTCCAGTCAAAAATGGAAGTAAAAAAAAATAAATAAATTATGTCAGCAGAAGATTATTTATACAGAGAGTTAAATACCCCATATTATGCATATTAGAACAGCTAAGATACAGGCAAAAGAGTCCGAGTTCACCATTTGGTTCTCATATACAAGCCTAAAGGCCAGTACAGAGAGAAGAGGTAACTAGAAAAAAGGACACTTAACACCTATTTTTTTCCTTGATCCTTGTATCCTCTGCACTAGCTAAGAGAATTTTGCTTTAAAGCTTTTTAAAGGTCTGTGTCATAAAATCACAGAATTGTTTGAGTTGCAAGGGAACTTAAAGATCCAGTTCCAACCCTCCTGCCATGGGCAAGGACACCTTCCTCTAGACCAGGTTGCACAAAGCCCCATCCAACCTGGCCTTGAATGTTGCCAGGGATAAGGCATCTACACCTTCTCTGGGCAACCTGTTCCAGTGCCTCACAACCCTCACAGTGAAGAATTTCTTCCTATTCTTATGTATCTGTATGTCTGTCTGCTTTCACTGCTATGGGATAGATGAATCAGCTTAAATCCAAAGTATTCATAAGACTAGAGCCTTGGCATTGAAACCACAGGATAGTCTAAGGTTCAAAACAAACTCCAGAGACTCAGTGCAGCTGGGCAGTAAATGTTTTATCTCTGAAGGAGTAACAGACAGTGGCTGTACCTACAAGGAAAGACAGAGAAGGGTGAGCAAGAAATCTAAAAGCAGGTCTGATATATAAGATCCAAACACAGTAGCCAGTTTACTTGGGCTTCACCAAGGTTACACATCACAAGAATAAATATCCCATACTTAGTATGCAAGTTCTTGGAAAAGCCTGCAATGAATATACACTTCTATACAATTCCATCAGGCTATGCAAACACACAACACTGAGGTCAGCCAGTCCCTCTGGTTACTAACAGACTCCCTGTTAAAGCACAATGAATATTTTGAGACCAAAGACAATTATCTGCCTCAAGACCAAAACATCACCATTTAAGAGAAAGAAAAAAAAACAACCACCCCAAAACCAAACAAAACAAGCAAGCAACACAAAAATCCAAGCACCTCCCCTTTCCCCACAAATACACAAAACCTCCACACAAAATCATGGTAACATGAGAAAAACCCTTACTCCTGTGGAACCTCAAATCCTGCACCATCTACAGCTGATCTTTCCAGTTTCTGTTTAGCCAGCTATCTACAGCATGGACAAAATTCTTAGTATACTGCGCAATGTAGGTAGGGTTCACACAAACTGAGCAGGCTTGAAGCAGTAAACCCCAATTCCATAAAGACATCCAAATCTGGATTAGCTGAATATTTTTGGAAAACACAAATTATCTATACAACAAAAGTTAAGAGAAAATAACAAGAAGACCTATAATCAAATACCATCTAGGGAAAAAAAAAATGGAGTCTAACAGCTTGGACTGTTTTCAACAGTTCTTATTGAACCAGAGTGCTGTGAAATCAAAATCACCATCTTGGTATGAGAATTTGGACAACGCGTTCATGTAGCACACAGATATTGCATTTTACAATACAGTGTGAGCAATGATCCGTAAGAGAGTTCATTGAAACACAATTATGCAAGTTCATTGCCACATGTAGTAGTCTACAACTGAAATTTGTCTTTTATTGTCAGCTGCTAGGTAACAGTAGTAGTACCAGAAACACATTAAATGGATATAAGAACAGAAGCATCTGCATTAAAAAGGGTAATTATTCATCGCTTAGATATTAATTCACACTGATAAAAGATTGCTGAGAATGAGCTTTTCTTGTTTATTCACACCTCATGAACACAGGTATGAATAAGGTGAAATCAAATAAAACAAATTGTAAACTAGCAGAAATGAAGATTGCATCACAAAAATATGCATGCAAGCGAAAACAAGCCCCAGGAAGATAATTGGCAGAGTCAGTCTGATCATGGGAATCAAGGGATGACACAAGGGAAATGACAGTGGACAGAAACAGAGCATCAGAAGTGCTACTGGCTGTGGACTAGAGCAATGATGAGAAGCTGCTTTCCCAGGAAGCTCTCTAAGCTCCTCTCCAGCAGCAGCAGCAAGCTTGGAGCAGGGGGGAAAGAGATCTACTTGCAAACCAGCTTTGCTAACGTGCTAATGAAATGTAGCTTGGGTCCAGTGAGCCCAGAAAATGAATGCAGATGTGGTTGAAGAAAAGATAACCGATAATAAATGTTTATTAATGAAGCAAATGTCTAAGACGTATCCAGTGCATAAGAGTCACTGATCATTGGGTCTAAGCACAGTCCCCAGTGCTACTGTTTTCAGAGTTACATCTTTCTTCTTGGTGAAGGCATTTTGTGAATCACTTAACAATGCTATTACGTGACACCACAAATACCTGTTTCAGTTGTCCTATATCTTTCTTATGATTTATGCTAAAATCTTTCATCTACCATTCCTTAAACACAGACACGGGGCTCTGTACTTCAACCACATATTTAGTATGGCCGATAAGAGAGAGATAAAAACTCCTGAGATACATGAAAAGAAATACTACAACACTAGTGTCTGTTTCACAAAGATTGATTTATTAATAGAAACATAAATCAATCACACTTCATCCCATCGCACTTCAATTCCCATCCTCCATACCAGGAAAGCCTGTTCAGCCAAACATACTTTTGGACTTTACCTTCCCAATGCAAGTTCAATCTCCTTCATTACAGACAAGTGTGAAGCAAGAGCCAACTCTGACCAAATCTTTTAATGAATGAGGAATTTATGCAATAATGAAGCATTTCACACAGTTCTAAAAGACCAATGGATATGGTTACCTGTGTTAAGAGGGAAAGAGAGCAAGGGAAGGTACAGCACCCCGGTAAAGACAGAAGGCTTCTAAGTGAAGTACAGAGATCTTTAACTGTGCATCCACGGGAGGGTGCAGAGGGGTGGGGATATGCTTAATGTTGTACATGAGCAATTTTGGATGATTCTGGAACAGAACATTTGAACTCACTGCTTTGTTTCTGCAGCAGCAACTCACATTCAGATGAACGTATGCATAAAAACTTGATCTTCCTCATTTCTTTTTAAGCATATAGTTGCATGAAACTATTTTCATTCTGAAAATAGTCGTCTTTTGCCCTGAACCCCCAAACTGAACTTACTTTATTAAGTATCTGTTTGCAGTTTCTTTGTCTAAGCTTTTCTTTCCATTGTAAAACAATATTCTATGTGTATTTTTTTTAATGCATTCAGGTAATTCATCAGTACTATTAGTACAATCTTGATTAGGTCTCTGCATTGTTTCAGCAGATGACACATAAATAATTTCTTATACTACTGTTTACATATTTGAACACTAGCATGTCCTGAAAGACCAGGCAGGGGAAGAGACAAATAATCATGACAACTGAAATGAAGATTAGAGATCCTTAGTTATGGTAAAACAGGAGACAATCAAACTAATAAACAATTCAACAGGAAAAACATCATTACACAGGTGAAAACCAGAGGATTTATTTGGAATGCACATGAAGGCATCATATAATTCAATCATCTAAGCAATTTACAAGTCTTCATGCAATTGTTGTATGATTTATGGTTCTGCTAGTGACAAGAAAAGGAAAATTTTGGCACCAGGTTTTGGGATTAGTGAGTTAAAAGTAGTAAACAAGAGAAAATAAAGACATAGCCTCATATAAGCTGAAAGTTAAATGGAATCTAGGAGGCCTAATGGGGGAAAAAAAGTCTATAACTGCTTTCAGCTTCTAATCCAAGACTTGCCTCCATCCAGCCTGATCTGTGTAGAGATCAAGAATCTTAGTCCATTATTATGGTATTTAGAATGTATCTATACATAATACATTAAAATCAACCAACCAAACCTGCAAAACACCTTAACATGATAATAGAAACCTTATTGGAGAAAAATGCATAACTCTATTCCTTGTTACTCACTAGCATCTTCATAAGTTATGAACCTTTAGATTGCTATTGTTTCAGATTATTGGCTAATTGCATCAGTGTCTTTCATAGTAAATAAACAAATGTGTTATCCTTGAAATCCACTGGAGAAAACTGTCAAAGTTATTCTTCAGAAGAACAACAATGCTCCTTAAATAAAAAAAAAAAAAATCATCATAACTATCTTCAAGAATCTGTAACTTCAGAATGTATATTCTGGTTTTTTGTTTTGTTTTTTTTTCTGCATGACTGCATGGTCCCTTATAGGAAAGAATACCAAAGTTTTTAGAGGGAAACAGTTATGGTAAAATTTTAAGTGTATCTGAAAACTAGAAACCCCTTGCAGCTTTCACTTCAGCAAAAATTAAAGGCACAACACCCTCAACTTCAGTATATCTTGTACTCCCAGAAACTGGGCAAGGGACTAGCTCAAAGCAATAAA